TACCATTAACTGCTATGGATAACAGACCAATCCAGGATCCTTTGGCAGTTTTAGCGGTTAGACATATTGAGGATGGTGATCAGCAAAAATGGGAATTTCTGATACAATAGTCTGATGTTTTTCCTGAAGATGCATCTTGGGAACCTGAATAACAGTTGTTGTGTGCTTACCCATACCTGAACCTTGAGGACAAGGTTCCTTGTCAAGGAGGAGGGAATGTTACGGTGCGAAAGTCTCATAGAATTAGGAGAAGCTCCACTCGGTTGGATGACTTTGTAGCATAGGGTCATATGATGTAATTAGTTGGTTAGACAGTTGTTAGGAAGTTAGTAGTTAAGGGACAGGTGATATACCAATATTGTGGTAAAAGACATATGTTATACATATAGGAATGTACAATTGTTTTTGCATGCATTAAATAATAAACCAGAAATTTACCTTTCACTTTCGTTCTGTTCTTTCGTTTTCTCTCATTCCTTTGCCACATTAGTGAAAGTAAAATGACCTTGAAGGTCGAGGCATGTGATAGGGAAAAACAAAATTTTTCGCTAGCGGAACACACATGCACATCAAGATACGTTCTTTAAGACGTATATTATACCTTGTTCGTGAAACTTCAGGATGATCAAGGTCAGGTCTGAAGGGTTCAAACCCTCTAACGTTGATCCACACCACCCGCGTCTAGATGCAAGAACTCTTTCTTGTAGAACCACCAATTGATCACCACAATGAGGCTTGCTATGCGCTCAATGTATGAAAGAGGAGGCTAGGCAAATGTGTTTAGAAGAGTGATGTTTTCAGAGAGAAAACCTCACAAGGTGGCGCATGGAAGGAGGAGAGAATGGCTAGGTCTTTTTTTTCTTTTAAAAAAAAACCTAAGGAGGAACACACTTATATATTGCACAAGAGAGTGAAGGAATAAATAAGTGAAATCAGATTTTTCACTTCAAAATCCCATGAAAGTGGCGCACAACAAATGAGGAGATAAATTAGTTGTTGCAATTCAAAACTCCCAACAACCTCTCCATTGAATCCTTATGAGATAAGGTCTTTATCTAATCAAGATTCTGACCTGATGGTCATCACATGACCACTCATACTGTGCGCCTCATTCAGTCCCAAAAGGAGTCCAGATATGTTTGAGTAGTTGCATTCAAACTTGAATCAACTCACTCAAATATTCTCCCAACAGACCGTATCTTTTGGAGCTGATTTTGATGACTAAATGACACTTACCAACAGCCAAAATCAGCGCCCCAATCTTCTTGGATCATGTCCAAAAGATCTCCTCTTGATACTAGTGATTTGTTCCAACAAGATCTTATCTTATCCATTTGTTATGAAACAACTTTTCATAGCCAATTCAAATTTGAATTCAAATATTTAAATTCGAATATTCAAACATTCAAATTCAAACTTTCAAACATTCAAATTCAAAATTCAAATTTCAAAATTCAAATTTCAAAATTCAAATTCAAAATTCAAATTTCAAAATTCAAATTTCAAATTTCAAATTCAAAATTCGAATTTCAAAATTCAAATTCAAATTCCAAATTTCAAAATTTAAATGTTTGATAATAAATTTAACCAATTAAATTAATTAGTAGTATCTTGGACTATCCAAGTCCATTATCCATGCGCCCTCCACCCTCAAGGTGGGCTTCCAAACTACTTCTTGGACTAATGACCATTATTAGGCCCAATACCTTTAATGCTAATTCATCTAGACAATTAGGTGTTAGCGTGTGACCCATTAGGTCCAACATAGCCACTGACATAAATGGGTTTTGGCCCAATAAGCCCACAACCCATCTAATGACAACACAGAGCACTAGCAATGCTTTGTTGCCCCAGAACTAGTTAGATTAATGACTTGATCATCCTATTACACATATTTGGTTGCCGTATGTATTTCCTTTCGTCTCGGTTACCTTCCCATAAAACCTAGGGTAAGGAAACGTATCAACCCTTGCGGTTTAGGGTAAGCTTTATTCGAAATAGGGAATCTTCAATTTACTGACTCTAAAGGCAGATCATCTCATGATCTCTTTTACTATGCATAGATTCCCGAGTCCCTGTAAATGTCATCCCGATTTCTCCGGTTTACAGATAACCTAATCTCTCACAGAGATTTGACGAATTCCTTCAGCTTATCACCCTAGCCCTGTGCTCTTTCAGGACAAGCCGAACAATATACCTATGAGTCTCCATGTTTCAGGCAGACGAGGTATACAGTCAAAGCATGCCTTCTAGAACACAGTCTAGGAAATAACTTCAAGTCTAAGGAAAGACATACCCAAATATAAAGAGACTACTCTAATGATACTCTCTGTGAGATTTCCTCATAGAGTCTCTTTTGTGGGTCTGTTCAGTGCGAGCTATACCCTTATAGGTCCACCCACGACTTAAGCTAAGACATCTCCATATCTGTAGCTCATGAGGTCTTTACCTTGCATCCGAATACAAGTAGATAAGTCGTGCTAGTCTTACCCGAGATCACTGATCCCCATTCTCAGTGTCTCTAGACTAGGAACATAAAATTAGGAATAAACATCCAGTATCCTTGAATCCTCATGATCGTGATCTCATCACAGATACTCAAGAGATACCTATTTTATTCCAAGGGGTTTATCCAGTTACTCATATATAATATTAACAGTAATATCGAGACAAAATATGAAACAGATAAAGAATGCTTTTATTTATTTGCGACAATACAAAGTCCACTTATGTCCTAATCTAATCAAAAGATTGTCTCTAGGACATCCATATACTAACAATTAGGACCCATATTTTTAATACAAGGCTTTAAACTTCTCCCAAAGATAGTATTGGAGAGGATCGAACACATACTCTCACTCTCACCTGCTCGAATAAATCTTGGTGCTACTATTGCACCAAAGATTCAGTGCATCCCATCAATGGAAACATTACATGTCAGCCAAAATTCTCTTTTTTCTGCCAAATTCTTTCTCTCTCCTCTGATGTGTAATACTTCAATTGATGGGATGCACTGAATCTAGATACAACAGATGCACCTAAGATTTATTCCACCTGATCAGTTTCCTGACACCAAGGGAGCTATCATTGGTTGGTTGCTTCTTCGTTCTGTGTGCATACTGCTCTCTACCTCAACTTTATTTAGTGGGCTATCTAGACAGAAAGGCCTAAAATCAACATTTGCTATAAAATGAGGTTAGAAAACATCTTATTACTTAAAAAAAACAATAACAAAAACAAAACAAAAAAAGAAGAAGAAAAACTCTTCATTTTATGCCATGTTTGGTCGTGGAACATTAATATAGTGTATTTAAATTTAGGACACAGTAAAGAATTTGTATTTGTTATTCTCTGCCCACCCATTTGGAAGTAAACTTAAACATGAAGGTAGTAGCTAAGGCGATAGATCCCATTTACTTGCCCTTAATCAACTCATCTTATACCCACCTAGCTAGAGGTGTTGCTGCATTTATGATATCAAAACAATTGATCCATATTGTTCTAATGTTCCACGTCTCAACAAGCAAGTCCATATATACTTAGTAAAAATTTCGGCAACCAGGCCACGTGAAGCTGCGTTCACCCTTCATCCTCTCCTCAAGATTCCTATCAGCTATAACTCATTAACTATTAACTAATATTTAAAACTTTATGAGCAGTAGAACCCTTTAATTTTAACAACACTTACTTTTCTACTTTTTTTTGTATATATTCTACTTTTTTTTACTTTTAGAAATAATAGTTAGTATAAAGTAGGTACATTATTTCTTTTTATTCATAGTTTAAGGAGAAATCTTTGGTAACACATTGTTTGAGACTCTTTTTTCAATGCATTCTTTATATATAATTGGATAAAATTTCATATTAACTCCAATAATTAATCTAGACTCAGTTTCTATTTGGCAGTTCGTGCTGTATGACCCCGGACGCTTTTATAACACTTAAACAAGGTTAATCAATAACATATATGAATAATTTGAATTAAATTTAATTGTTAGAATAGTAATGTATCCAAAAAAATGTTAGAATAGTACAAATCAAGTTTAAAGAATAAATACCTTCGAATAAATAAAGGTTCTATATATTAACTTGTGATTAAGAGTACAGTTAAAGATAAAAATAGAATTTATTATTTTTTATTAAATTATTTTTGTTACTTAAAAAAGAAATTATCAAATAATTTTTAATTATTTTAAAAAATTACTTCCATTTTGAATTTAATATAGTTTTAAGTCTTAAAAGACACACCTTAAAAAACCCAATAAATAACTATTTAAATGGTTGATATTTTCATATATCTAAAAATCTGACGTACTTTAATTTTAAGGTAATTTGGTAGAGTAGAAAATAGTTTTCAATTTATGTAAACCTTAAAAAAAATATGATAAACCCACTTTACAAAGAAAAATAGGAGATCTTAACCATTGTTAAGAAAATCAATGGAATAAATGATAATATACTCATAAATTATCTAAAGTAACATTAGATACTTTATTTTCACTAACCAATAACCATTGATAATTTTTTTATCAACTATTATGAATTTATGATCTCTCACTTTGGCATGAATTGCTCACTTTTTTTTTTGTGTGGATACATGAATTGCTCACTTTAATTTGTTTCAAGCGAACATTGAATTTTATATATGGAAAAATGTTTATTTTTTTAAAGAATATATAATTGGGTCATTTTAAGTGAGAGAAAGATAAAATTTAGTATTTTTTATTTAGGTTTTAAATTTTAAAAAAAATTACTCACTTTCTTTCTTATAATTTTCATTAGTTATATTTTTCTGTCATTTAAAATGACATAATTTTATATTCTTTAAAAACACCAACACTAAACCTTTTATATAATGTTCATTACTTGGGGGAACGAAGGTGGAAAAGAAGAGGCCCAATTGGATTTGGAAGCCCAATAGCCCCCTTAACTAGAAAAACCAATTATCATCGTTAGAAGTTTCAACGAGCCCAATACTAATTAATAGCTTTCGATGAAGATGAGTAGTATCTGACTCTGACTCGGAGTTCGGATCGTCAACATTGCCATGGAGAAGGAAGAGAGTAGCACGAGTAGCATCGATCCTTCTTCCTTCAAGCTTCTAGTGTCGTGTCCTTCTGGTCTTTCACCCGCACAGGTTCTCTCAACTTTGAACTCTTCACGATTCGTTTGAAATGTGCCTCGCTTTAGCGTAATCTAACCAATCATTTTTCGCTTTTTGAAGGTTTCCGTGGCATTTAGCGACGCCTACGATCGGATCCCTCACTCTGACGTCAGCTTAGAGAACACGATCATTGAGGTGGATCGCATTCATTAACATTCGTTTTGTAGTGATATCAATTTATATATATATTCTAGGCGTTAGGTACTTGGATTTATGATTATGTTTATGCTTATCTTCTGTTCCTGTTGTGTAGATATGGGAGCAGAGGAGTCTGAAAAACAAATCGCTGTTCAATGGAAAGAAGTTCAGGGTATGTGAGTCTTATTAATGATATATTCTTACGTAGTCTGAGAATACTATAAAATGTAAAAACATAACAAATGTCAACTCATAACCATATTGTCGTTGAATTGAATATATATTAATATTTAATTAGATATGTCTGGTTGCTGAATTGAATATATGAGTATTTTTCCTTATTGATGTGTGTTTGATTATTTGTTTTCTATAATACTGTTATGGTATGGATCAGATGAACAATTGAGGTTTATTAATCCATAATACTATATGCACAGAGCATATGGGCTTTGGGATCATGACATGTTTTTTTTATCCATAAAACTAATGCAGTGACCTTCAATCTCTTTTTGTAAGTCCTTTCTGTTTTTCTGTAATATCATGCTTCTGGCATATGGGTACTTTGTCAAGGACTATTCCTTACTGAGTGTGTCTATTTTTTTTTTTTTTTGTTGCTGCAAATATCACAGTATGGAGGGTGTGTTTTGCACTCTGGAGGTGGATCTGACCATGAACCCCATTTGTGCCTCCACCTGGGTTTGACAGATTATAGGTCTCTTCTCAATGCCCTTCTTGTAAGTGTTACATTCTGATTTAGCATGGTTAGTGATATTGATAGGATGATAATAATTCTGTAATCTTCAATGATAAATTGTAATTTCACTTTTCACGTGGATGGTTTGGTGATCTTAGTCTGTATCTATTTCAACGTTCATGTTCATGACTTCTAATGTGCATTCATCATTGGTAGGTAAATAAGAATTAAAAAGTCATGTGTGGTAAATTAGTTGGAAACTTTTGAATTTCCAAATTAAATCTTAACATAACAGTGGTCTTTGGCTGAAAAGGCATGTACATGATACATTACAACATTTTTTTAGCAATATATAAATGAGCAATCACCTAACATATCAATTATTTGCTTCAATTTCCATCCATGCTGTATAGCTATCTTTAATGTTTGTCTGAAACCAGTAGAGGATATTTCTCCAATGCCATCTTTAAGCATAGTTTAATCTTATTGCTATTCTTTCCTTTTATTTTTACTTATCAATTCTTCTTTCCCTCTATTTAATAATCATTGGTTAAACTTGCTTCCAGGACTTTTGTGGGTACAAATTTAAGTCCATTGTGGGAAAGGTTCCTAGTTCCATCAGAAGGTAAATCATTACTATTTTTGCACTCTTTTAACTCAAATACTACTATCATGGTGATTCTGTGATCTTATACTGTTATCAGCTGAACACAGGGTAATGTGGCACCTGACTTCCAAACTGAAATTGTATTATATCGCTGTCCAATAATAAATAATGAGGAAGGGAACAAGGGGATTGAGGTTGAGTTAATAAAAATCCGGAGGCAGCAGTAGGGTATCGCTTTCTGTGTTGCCCTGCTTGTAAACAATGGACTTTCCCTTTATGTTTGAAAATATGGTGGTCTCTTCCTCCACTATGTTCCTAAAGTAGATGTGGTATCACTGGATCTAGAAATCATTAGCCAATTGGGTATTGAACTATGGATTGATGAACTTAGCATCAACCTGAACATTTCATCACTGTTTAGCTGTCAAATTCCATAACTACTGTTACTATGATAAGTTGATGACCCAATATCAGATATGTGTCCAAAGTCATATTGCTCCCTCAAACATTGGATTACTGTAGAAATTACAATATTTATCCAAGTCATATCAATTGTAGGTCCTACCCTCCTCCTTTGTGTCTTGTTTGAATTTGATTGTGTTCCATTTGGTCATTATAGAATTGAATAAAAAAGGGAAAAGGATTAGTTGTTGTGTTTTTTCTTTCCTCCTCAATTGTCATATAAGTACATAGAATCATTAAACAAGGGGATGAGAAAGAAGGAGCAATATTACATAATTGTTGCTTCATGAGTTGTTTGTGTTCTGGTGGCCTATAGGCTGACAGAGAAGGAATGAGTAAATTAGTTAGTAGTTAGTTAGGGAACTATTCTAGAAGGTTCTTAGTTGATAGGATAAAAGAGAGGGGAGTGTGTAGTGAGGGAGGGAGGTATTCAGAGAAATAGGAGTGGGAATTTGGGGAAGATCTCTTGAGGCCTAGGTCTTTGGCTTTGAGGGTGAGTTAAGGTCTTGGTTTATCTTGTCTGCGTTGTCAATTAATTAATGTTAATTGTCCTGTTGTTGGAGTCTGTAATTAGCACAAGAGTCAGTGTCTCTGTTTCATTTTCTGCCATGGTTATGTTACTAGCCACTGTTATTGTATTTCTGCTACTAGGATTGTAAGGGGATTGTAAGGAGCGAGTTGCCAATTCCATTTGTCAATACAAAATGTCTTTGCATTCAGAGTTATTTGCTGTGGAAATTTTGGGTTCCATCAATTTGGTATCAAAGCACTATAATCCTAGGAGTGTTCTTTGATCCACAAATCTGAAGAAAAAATAATAATAATAATAATAATAATAATAAAAATATGGGAGGAATCAGTGATTTAGAGCAACATCAACATCTCCTTTATTCTGGTTTGGGATAGGCCATGCATGCAAGCACGCATAGGCGGAGTTAATCAGTGATTTAGGGCGTATGGAAAAATTGAAAAAAAATCTTAAAGGTCTTCGAAGAGGCAATGGAGAACATGGAGAGACAGAAGCTTGAATACAAGAAGAGGAATTCTGAGAGTTTTAAAAAAAAAAATCGAAGGAAAAGAGGAAGAAAAAACAAAAACTGCAGCAGATGAAGGGAATGAAGAAGAAGACGTAGACGTAAATCAAAAAACAGAAAAAGAAGAAGAAGATGGAAGTGCAACAAAAATCAGAAGAAGAAACAGATCAAAAATCAGAAGAAGTCGAAAGTGACGAAGAAGAAGTAGCAAATGAAGAAAAAAAGGGGGAAGAAGAGGCAACAGCAGACCGAGAGAAAAACAATGTGAAAAAGGCTAAACAGAGGGTGGAGGAGAAAGAAACGTTTTCGGTAAGAAACATGTCATATGTGGATAAGATGGGAGCCGGGTCAAGATTTGGATTTGGGTTTTTAGGTTGTCCAGCTCTCACCATCAGAGAGGCCATTAATGGGAGCACAACAAGGATGTAATGGGCCACAGGTATCAACCCAACGCTCAGTGGCAAAAGTGAACCCTAATTGATTCTTTGGGGGAACAGCCGACAAAAGCATTCCCACCTAAGGCAGCGTAACGGCAGCGAGCGGGGCTTGGAACATCGATGGGGAACGCGATGCAGACAGTTGACACGAGGAGTTGGAAAACTGCCGAAGATGCAACCTTCATTTTCGCTGCTACACTCCGTTTGATCGAGGACACGTAGTCCGCATTTGAGTGTGATGCTCCTAAGGGAAGGTGGTGACGAGATTTCAGAAGAAGAGGTGATGCACGAAGTGGGAGGAGCAAAAGCAGAGGTGGTACAGCTGAGGACCTATAGCATGAGGTTTCACTTCTAACAGGTCACTGAAATTGTGAGGAAGGGTTTGTGGACACCACGTGGTCGTTCTAATAGACACAGGGGCCTCACATAACTTTATTGCAGAAGGGGTGGTGCGAGCTTTGGAGTTACCAATGGATGATAGTAGGCAATTTAATGTAGAAGTTGCTTTGGCTGCGTTTGTTGAATGAGCAAAAAGATGAATTCTCTCAATCCATCTTTTGTAAGTGATTCATTGGCTAATTTTGGTAATGGTAAATCATTTGAGAGGTGGATTTGTCTGTTAGTGTACTCACTCACTGTCTACTGCAACGATGTGATACTAAGAGTGGGTCAAGATACGTTGAAGGAGCATATATTTACTGAGTTTGTTGAACTGCATTACGAGTTCTTGGGTGGGCATTCCAATGGTGGTTCTTTTGCTTCAAGTATAACTTGGTCAATAGGCTTTAGACAGTGGGATCCGAGTGGAAGAGTCTCTCACACCTGTGGCTGGATTTGACCTCTTCCTTCACCTTGAGGACAAGGTGAATTTTGGAGGGGGAGTATTGATGGGCCTATGGGCTGAAAGAGAAGGAATGGGTGAATTAGTTAGTTAGTTAGTTAGGAAAATATTCTAGAAGGTTCTTAGTTGATAGGATAAAAGAGAGGGGAATGTGTAGTGAGGGAGGGATGTCTTAAGAGAAATAGGAATGGGAATTTGGGGAAGATCTCTTGGGATCTCCTGAGGCCTAGGCCTTTGGCTTTGAAGGTGAGTTGAGTTCTTGGTTTATCTTATCTGCATTGTCAATTAATTACTGTTAATTGTCTTGTTGTTGGAGTCTGTAATTAGCACAAGAGTCGGTGTCTCTGTTTCATTTTTTTCCATTGTTATGTTACTAGCCACTGTTATTGTATTTCTGTTACTAGGATTGTAAGGAGCGAGTTGCCAATTTCATTTGTCAATACAAAATATCTTTGCATTCAGAGTTATTTGCTGTGGAATTTTTGGGTTCCAACATGTTCATTAAAAGAATAACTTGGTATTTCACAGTTGGCCGATAGAGAAGTTCATTTATAATTAGTAGAAGTTGGCAATAGAGAAGTTCATATATTTACATTTTATCACCACTTTAACGTTTGCATTCTACAAGGACAAAGTAGGCAATGCTTTTGTCAAATATTGTTTAAAAATGTTGACTTCGTCCAAGGGTTAGGTGTATTGATTATTTGATTGATTTAATATCTTTAATTAAAAGTTCTTGAACAATATGGATGGAATCATAACGACCAAAATTTTAAAGCCTTTATGTTCCCTCTGCCTCCTCCACCTTCCTTCTTTTCCTTTGAATTGGTATTGTAATTGATTTGCTTTAATCTTTTGCCCACATATTTCTTTCTCCTCAGATGATTCCGTTCTTTGTCAGCGTACCTCCAGTCCACTAGGAAATGGTGCAGTGGTGGAGACAATTGACAAAAAGATACTTGTATTACAACGAAGTGATAATGTTGGTGAATTTCCTGGACATTTTGTTTTCCCCGGAGGCCATCCTGAGGTATTCAATGGTGAAATTAAAGTTTCGAATACTTTCTATTGCTGCTATATTAGTAGTGCTGTTGTAGATTTTCTATAATAGATATTAAATGGGAATTTAGTTCTGAAAATTGAAATTAGTCTTTGACTTTTTTTGGGGTGCGTGTTGTATTTCTTTGTTTTTATATCTGCTCCTTTCTGCCGTAATGTATTGTCTTCTATTTAATGATTACTAATGAGAAGCAAACAAATTTTCCTGTCTGTATTTTTAGACTCAAAATTTCTGTGTAGACTTGACTATACGTTGAATTTTTAATTTTTAATTTTTAATTTTTGATGATTGACAGCCTCAAGAAATTGGTATAGCGTCCCATCAATACGACAAGGAGTCAATGGAGTCTATTAACATTGAGGTTTCACGGGAGATGTTTGACAGCATTGTTCGTGAAGTAGTTGAAGAAATTGGAGTGCCAGCTTCATCCCTTGTGAGTTTCATTGCAACTTTAATATGACTATGAACACAATATACGTGGTTTTTACCTTTTCGAGAGAGTGAACTTCAGAGCCACCTAGTATAATAACTTTGGTAGATATTGTGATTTATATGTTTTGTTTTTGTTATATACCTTCTGTTGTTTGAGTGGATTGATTGCGGATAATTTTTCTGTTTGGGTTGCTAAACCCCCGTCTTTTTCTCTTTTTAAATTAGGGGTTGGATGGGTTCAAAGACTGAATATTTAATTTTGATCTTTTGTCTTGCAGAGCATCCCGGCTTTCATTGGTATATCTCGCAGGGATTTGAATGTGAGACCGGCTGCCTTTTTCTTTATCAAATGTAGTCTTGACTCAAAGGAGGTTCAACAGTTTTATTCTAGCGCACAAGATGGCTATGAATCAACTCAGCTATATGCTGTTCCAATGGTAATTCTAAAGCTTGTTTTTAATGTGTTCGCATGAAATAAACTCATGATAATAATGTGATTATTTTTATTTTTGGGTATTTCCATTTAAGAATATTTGCATTATTTTGGTAGTGGCATTAATAAGAGGCATGAATGTGGCACCTGGTTGTGGTGGTCTTTTTTTGTTGTGATGTGACAGACGGTCTATCAAAATGATTATGAGTTCAGCCCTTTGTAGAAAATATTTTCGATATTACAGAAATACTAATCACTCGGTACTTCTTTTATCAAATATAGAAAGAAAAAAAAAACATATTTACGCTACCCTTATTATTGTAGTTATTTCCTTCCATGTCCCTTTTTTTTTTCATTTTTGGTAAGGTAGTACCTTCTCCCCTTGCACTAAAATTCTACTCCTCTTGGTGGGTGTGGCTGCAGCGTGATGAATTGGTGATATGATGATATAGCTACTTGTATAGCGCTGAATGCTTAGTGATATTTTTTTCTCTAGGTTACGGTGGGATTTATTGGGGCTCTTAAGCTTTTTATTTCAAAAGCTTAAAAGCTAGCTTATTGTTACTAAAATTTTAAAATCGATCATTTTAATGCCTATTACAACGACGACCAACCTCTAACCTTGAAACCATTACTTATTGATTTTGTACTTTTCAGGTTGAATTAGAAAACATGACTTCTAAGATGCCTGGCTGTCATCGAGGTGGATTTGCTCTGTACAAATTGATGGTTGACACCAGGAAGATTACTTGATGGAAGTTTATAGAGCTCACAGTTGTCAAGCATGGTGTTGTATTACATGGCTTCAAGTCTCTTTCCTGTGTAATGTAGTTTGATGTTGACATTGCTGAGTTGAACCTCGATTTCCCCACCCAATGAAAAGAATCGAGACAGAATTTAACCGAGCTCAAATCTTTCACAGGAATTTTATATAGATGTTCTTTAAAATACATTATAGTAATGCTTCAGTTCAATTCATGCCCAAATAAAATGAATAAGCCAATCCAATGCTGTATTTTTGTTCTATATGCAGTATACCTGGTAAATATTGAATAGCATGACTTTAATTTCTGAGCTCTGACCACTGTTATATATTCGTTAATATCATATTCATATTTGATGTGTGTGTGTGTGAGACTGTGAGTGTGCGTTTTAGGTGGGAGGGGGGGTGTTTGCAAGGAATTGAATCTATGTCCTCTGCCCAAAGTCCACCTATCCTAACAACTTGAGCTAAAGTGGCTCAAACTGCATCTTGATTTCTCCGTTGGGCGTGACGTTTTGTTCATATGTATTTTGGGCATTAGTTTGCAACATTTTCGAGTATTTTGAACCTAATTAAATATCAACTTTCTTCGAATAGTACATGTATTTATGGAAATTCAACTAGGAGCCTATTACGGAATGTGAAAGCAATTATGAAGTTATGTGTCTCTCTAAGTAGTTAGTTGGAAATTGCATAGGTCACATGCTAGAGGAAATACAGTTAGGAGTTGTGGCATGAAATAAGGACGGTTGTTAGGGAGTTGGTTGAGCCTATTATGTTAGGAGTTAGTTACTCAGAAGCCTGGGTAGTGTGTAGGCAGACTTGTGTGTAGTCTGATATAAAGGGGAGCTTGATGTACAAAGAAGAATATCTGAATAATAATACAGTTCTTTGGTTCGTTACTTTCATTTTGTCCTCTCTCTATTAGGTTAACCTAACAATTGGTACTTTCATTCTTGGACACCAATCACGATACCATGATGCAAGTTCAAGATCTCGCTACTGAGTTATCTACGTTCCAGCGGATAGTTGATGCTCGTTTTGAAGCTAATCTCGCTCAGATGTCTCGCATAGAAAAACGATTCAATGATTATCAGAATCAGCTGGCATTGATTGTGACTTAGTTGCAACAGCTTAACACTACTGTTATGGCAATTGCTGCACGCACTTGTGTGCCTCATCTTCATGATCCTAATTTTCGTGGACCTTTGTTTCACTCAAATGTTGATGCTGCATCGTCTCAGAATCCTCAATTGTTGTAGTCCAATTTCATTGTTCAAGATCCAACCTCTTGTTCATTTTCTTTTTCCAAAATAACAGAGCATAGCTCTAACGTTGCACACACTCAACCGATTCATCAGCATGTTGACACCACTTTTTTTAATAATATGTTGTCCATTGAGAGCGTTCCATGCCCAAACATTCATAGGAGAACTGAATCCGCAGATCCGCGTTCTGCATTCATGTTCATTTCCATGGAGATTTCTCCTCTCAAGTGCGACACTGGATCAGCTGCACACAAGGCTGCTAAGCAAAGCTTGGACCTCATTGTTGACATTAAGGGGGTGTTTGGTTCAAGTTTCTGGAGAGGATTACCGGTAATCCTTCTTTGGTAAATGTAATTACCACGTTTGGTAGAAGGAATAAATTACGATTCCCGTATATCCAAGGATTACCGGTAATTTGATTTATAAAGAAAAGTCACTATTCAGATTACCAAAAATAATATGGTAATTCGGAATACCAATCAAAATACCAAGTAAAGGGAAAGTACAATAATAAATTTTGAGACAAAAATACCCCAATACACATAAAAATCTAGACTCAATCTATCAATTACAAAAGTAAAAATAGTTTGGGGTTATTTTTGTAAAATAACCTCATATTCCAAGTCATATTTCGTTCTAAACCAAATATGGAATCAGTAATTTTTACCCAGTATTCCCGGTAATATTTTGGCGAACCAAACACATCTTTCGTAAGATTCCAAGTAAACTCAATTTCTACTGAATTCCCATTAATCATGATTCCCGGTCACCAAAAAATTTCTCCTGTACCAAACACATCGGGAATTGTGGCCGTAAATTTGATTTTTGGTGCATCAACTCAACCAAGAGGTATCCCTGTTTGTGGTGCTATTAGCACCTTTGTTTTTCATTTGTCACAAAGTGCAATTGTAGACTGCTTTTTGCTATCAATGCAACATGCATTTGAGAGTAATTTGAATGTCATTCACCATGTTCTTCTGAGTTTTACTTGGGACCGAGGAGGCGCTGACCATTTAGATTTCCGTATGTTCAGTTACTGGTGCTTCAACACAGGGCTTGACATGCTACCTCCGCTGTGTGGGTATGGCTGAGAGAGTTTTCATTGTTTGGACCTTGAGGACAAGGTCCCTTTTGAAGGGGTGAGTGATGTTACGGAATGGGAAAGCAATTATGGAGTTATATGTCTCTGGAAGTAGTTAGTTGGAAATTGCATAGGTCACATGCTAGAGGAAATACATTTAGAGCTGTGGCATGAAATAAGGAGTGTTGTTAGGGAGTTGGTTGAGCCTATTATGTCAGGAGTTAGTTACTCAGAAGCCTGGGTAGTGTGTAGGTAGACTTGTGTGTAGTCTGATATAAAGAGGAGCTTGATGTACAAAGAAGGATAAATAAATAATAATACAGTTCTTTGGTTCGTTTCTTTCATTTTGTCCTCTCTCTGTTAGGTTAACTTAACAGAGAGCCTCGCTTGAGCCAAAGTCATGTTCTGAGGCATACCATTGTCTGGATTCTGCAATATCATTGTTATTGTTAACCATGGAGAGAATAACGGAACAATAACATTCTACAATATTTATTTGGTTCAGTCCCAGAGTGATTGCCTTGATTGTTAGGGCCAGCGTCTAAAATGCCAGAGGAAGAGTTGCCAGAGTGTCCCGAAGAATGATGTTGCTGAAGAGCATGGAGACGAGAGAGTGCTTCTTGCATTTGGGATTGGGACTCTTGAAGATTGAGATATTGTTGTTCTATTAGTAATTTAGTGGCATCAAATCGCTGTTGCTGTTGTAAGGCATGGAATTTGTCACGCTGATTTAGTGGCATCCACGCGATTTGTCACGTCCTTTAAGCGTGTATTTTCTGCCATGAAATTTGGGAGGAAAGGAGTAGAATGAAAGCACCATAATGTTAGGACAGATTTGAATATTTAGTAGGGGAGCAGAGGAGAAAGAAAGGTAGGGAAGGAAGAGACAAGAAAGAGACAGAATTGTTAAACTTTTCCATGTCTTTCTTCATTACTAACGGTGCTTTAAATATATATCACAATATTCCCAAACCGTTTTCAGGGCTATACTATCCCCTGTGCATACCCACCTTACATAGTATAGATTAGCAACAGCTCACAAAACAGAAAATAAACGGGTCACATAAATGGACCTTTCTTTCAACATTTGTACTGATCCAAATAGGAGGGCCACTTACTAATTTACTTGGGCCTGGTATAGGAACAGTTTGTGACATTGACATTTTTCCATGCCTATTCCATCGAATAACTTGATGACGTTTATGGCTGATCGTTCAAAATTGTAGCTGGGGTGATTGATCTTAATTATTAGTCGGATCACCCACAAGGTACGGCAAATTCTGTTTCATAGCTGGGCCAAATAATCTCGTTTTGTAATTTAATACGTACAATAAGCCTTTCACCTTATGCAAGGGTGGACCTAGCTGTAGGGCTAGGCAAGGGACGCGGTGGCCTCTCAGAGCAATAAAAATTCCTCTGTAAATTGTATTGTTATTTGATTTAATTTAATTTAACTCTTTTCATAGGCTTTCATAAAGTTTAAATTTACCTCACTTAATTTTTTTTTTAAAAATGTAATCTCACCTAATACTTTGTAATTTATGCCTCCCTCTTGAGTAAATTGTCACCGTGACATGGCATGAAACACAGTAACTGACTTACTGCCAAAAGGGATTGTGCGAATGACATGTGCTTGATATGATCATATTCTTAGCAATATTTTCACTACAAAATCCATGGAGCTTCTTTCGTAGGCTTACATAAACCAGAACCTAATCTTGTATATACTGGCACTATAGCAGCATAAAACATATATGTCAGACCGTGTCTAATATTTGTCGAGACGTTATCAATATATTCTTTTTAACATTTTTTTCAATATTTTTTGTTATTGAATAAGATTCCATCATGGTTCCACTAATAGAAAATTAATTTTAGTTATTTAATGAAATTCAAGTGAAATTTTACTTGATAATAAAAAATAATTAAAAATAAAAAACGTTGCTTATATTTTTTATAAAGAATATGTTTTTCTTATATTGCAGGAAACAAATTGTCTCATGCAACACAAAAAAAAAAAGGAAATGATCCATTTGCTTTCTCTCTTTCTTTTTTAGTGAGTTTCACTCGTTTTTTTATATGTTGCATGAGACAATTTATCTCATACAACATAAAAAAACATTTCTCCTTTTATAATTGGTTCAGTCAATGGTCAATAACCGGAAACATAAAAATTGGTCATCTACCAATTGTCAACTTTAATTTCACTGTCAAACCAAATTTTTAATATGCTCTTTTGGACTATACTAAGTATGGTATATACTACTAATGCTGTAAAGCACAATGTGAATGTTTAGTATAATATGCGGCTTGCTACTGTAACTTTGGACTACGGAGTGACAGCAACGTTGTTCAGGAACGACACGATGACCAATGGGTAGACTTCCAAAGTTGTTAATTCACGTGCAGTTGCAGTGCCACGTGCACCGATTGAAATGCTACTGACTCGTTATTTCACTTACCTATTTTGTCTTTGTTTTTTTTATACATTCATTATTTACCTAGGTTCCAAAAAAGAGGTTAACGTTAACTACTTTAAAAAGAGTTATTCGGCGGTTTTTGTTTGGATCCTTGCGCACCATGTCCATGTGGGTTCCCTCCCTGGCTGTAAGGTTTCTTGTTTTCTCAGTTATTTTTTATGACTTTGTTGATTCGTTCTTTTGTTTTTTGTGTTATATTTATGCCTTTCAACTTTCTTGATTTTGTTGATAAGATCGAAATCTAGGCTTCAATTATCGCTTTTTTTGTTTCTTCTCCATTGTTCGTAGTAAGCATATGCTTGTACGCCAAAATGACATGTTTCTCTTTCTTTTCCTTTCCTGTGAGTAACCATGAGTTGACTCTAGCGCGCTGTGCGTGGTTCAGGTCGGGTCAGGTTTTTGTCCAACTCGACCCAACTTGATTTTTATGGATC